TCAACAGGGGATTGTATGATGTCTAAATTAATTGCAGTTTTACAAAGTCACTTTCAGTATTTGATCTTCTGGATATCAAATCTTTATACCACTTCAAAGATGCTTCAGAACTTATGTTAAGTTAATACGATTAGAAGGACGTTGGGAGAAAAAGAAATATGGAGCTAACAAATGAAAACTTGTTTAAAAAAATATTTAAGAACAAAGGTTAGATATAGATAAAGAAACTGAAAAAAAAACTTTTGTACTGTTGGTTTTAGTTATTTATATGAGTTATTATTGTTATAGTTACATATGATTTTTATATTTTATTAACTTGATTTTCTCAGTTTCACTTTTTTTATGGGTAGCTTAAGAAAAACATTGATATCTCAATAAAAAATGATTATTTCAGCTCCATATTTTCAGGATAATTTGGTTGCTAAAATTAATACTGCCTGAATTTAACATTTTAACTTTAACAAAAATATATCTAGTTACTTAGGCTACAATAAGACATTAGTTTTTTGCATAAATTAGTTTTTTGTATTAAATCTGCTATTATAGATCGTTTTAATTTTTTTCAAAAACTTTAGATTCAGGCACAAGCTAAACTAATATGCTAACATTGTACAAAATTTCAACCTTTAATGTTGAGGTAGTCTTAAGATATTTATGTTCTTTAAATGTAAAATTTTTTAGCTTTTCTTTCCTGAGCCAGCAATTTCTTACTTTTGAGTTTTAAAACTTATTACTAAATTTTTTTTATTTTTTATTTTTTACTTTTTTTTTTTGGTTTATATTTGTTGGTCGTTGTACAACTTTTTACAACCTGTAACAAAAATAATAATATATACTTACAATGATAGTAAATATAACAAATATAAACAAGGTATCTGAAAGAAGATTGCAAGGATCTTGTCGTCAGAACCTTAAATAAGCATCTACCAAAGATAAAATAAACAAAAAATTATTAAACTTTTACAAAATATATAATTAATGTAGACTCTACTGAGGAAAAAAAATTCATTGACTTAAATATATAAAAACGAAGATATGAGATAAAAACAGTTTTGATTTCTGTTAAAAATGAGAAATATCTTTTAATTTCAATCCTTTATAAATTAGTAAATTCAAAATTGTAGGACGATTGCAAATATTCTCTAGTTCAATCTATAATTGATTTACGAAATGAATAAACAAATGTCCTCAAAAAGCACTCTTAAGCATGCCAAGTATACTGTTGCTAGCTGATGCAGTCGTAAATACTAGTGAGTACATTACAGATGATGCAATTGTGAATATTTCTAATCATTAGTAATTACAACACCAAGATCATGTTCAAATGTGCATGATAGTTGCTGCAGTTGATCAACTGTCATTTATTGCGTAGACTGCCGTTGATTTTTTGTTGTTATTGCGAATACTATCAACAAAATTTCACCCCTATTACATTCTGCTGTACATACTGAAATTATAAGGAGTGTCCACCAAATTCCACTAAAAGATTGAGAAATAGCTAACCAACCGCCTGCAACGTGTAACGATTGGTAACAATCAATCCGATTGGATAACAGTATCTATTGGTGTGCTTCAAGGATCGGTTCTTGGACCACTCCTTTTCCTTATCTACATTAACGATTTGCCATACAAAATACTACACCACATTAAAATGTATGTAGATGGCTTTGAAGTAATTGGAGTCATTAAATTGAACCATGACATCAAAAAACTCTAAGCCGATAACAACAAAGCAGTGAAGAGTTAGTATCGATAAGTGCAAATTCATGCACACTGGGCGCAGCAACATCAAAAGACTGCAATTTACACTATGAATAACATGGCAGGCCAAATGTATTAGCTGTCATGCACAAAATCTGAACGAGACCTAAGTGTTGTTATGACTAACAATCTGAAGGTTAAAAAACAAGTCTTCTTGGCTACATTAGCTGGCAGCCGAATGCTTGGTAGGCTCAAATCTTAAAAAGTGGCGACTGCTTTCATATAAAAAAGGTTCTCATAACCTAAAATCTGCCGACTGAAATTTGCAAATGCAAACAGGCGACTATGTTCCTGAAAAAACGGAGTTTAAGTTCAAAATCATTTTCTTTAGAAGTGGGTAGGGAGCTCATTTCTCCACAGAAGATGGATTTTAACTTATAATTGCGAGGGTGTTGACCCCCTCACTCTTAAAACCGCCCTACCTCTAGCTGTATACCGGCGTAATTCACTAACCTAAACATCCTTTTATATTTTCCATAAAAATTTAAAATTAGAAAGAGTTTTCTCCATAGAAAATAATAATTAAAAAGAGTTTTCTACATAGGTATCACAAGCGAATATTTCCACACACTTGTGAGCATAAACAACATAATATGAGAAACTGGGAATAATACTCCAGTATTCATTATCGTGGATACGTAAGGTATATATATACAATATATATATATATATATATATATATATATATATATATATATATATATATATATATATATATATATAAACATATTTCCCGGTAAGTCAAACACTGGTTTACTTAAACTTTTGTTATCTTGAACTGTTTCATTTGGTCCCTTGAAATTGTTTTATTAATTACTATTAAATTCTCTGGTTAAGTCGAACCTCGAGACTCCTTACAACAAATTCGCTGAACTTAAACTTTTTGAGTAGAAAATCAAAAATTCAAAATAACTTGATTACATATTTTTCAATCCATATAAAACATAAATAACCGTAGCCAAGTTTTTTCTATACTTTTTTGTTGTATTTAAATAGAATAGATAGTTATCAAACGTAAAATAATGCTATAAATATTTTTTATTTTTCATGTAGGTGCCTCAAGTAGTCCTTACGGTCTTATCACAGAGCACCGCGGATGAGCATTTAATTGAAAGTTCACGACCTCCTTCCTAACCGATGTCGCAAACTTGCCAAGCGGTGAGGTTTGAACCACGAATCCTTTGTTTCTGAGGCAAGTGTGCTACCACTGCGCCAGACCTACTCACTATGCGCCACAGCTGCTCGACACGGCTAAATATTAATTAATGATACAAAATAAATTATAATAAAATACCGTTAAAATAAGCAGTTATGTTTTAGTTTTTAATAAACTTTTTAACAAAAGATTTTATTACCAAATTATATTATATATATATATATATATATATATATATATATATATATATATATATATATATATATATATATATATATATATATATATATATATATATATATATATATATATATATATATGTATATATATATAAAAGAAGCATTGAATAAAGATAAATCTTAACTCGAACTAATATATCATATCAGTCAAAGTTTAATTTAACTTTCTTTAGTCAAACATTCGTTAAGTTGTTCCTTGGCTCCTTGGAGGTTTGAGTTATCAAGAACTAACTGTATCATCATACCGCTCAGAATAAATTATAATAAAATACCGTTAAAATAAGCAGTTATGTTTTAGTTTTTAATAAACTTTTTAACAAAAGATTTTATTACCAAATTATATTATATATATATATATATATATATATATATATATATATATATATATATATATATATATATATATATATATATATATATATATATATATATATATATATATATATATATATATGTATATATATATATATATATATATATGTATATATATATAAAAGAAGCATTGAATAAAGATAAATCTTAACTCGAACTAATATATCATATCAGTCAAAGTTTAATTTAACTTTCTTTAGTCAAACATTCGTTAAGTTGTTCCTTGGCTCCTTGGAGGTTTGAGTTATCAAGAACTAACTGTATCATCATACCGCTCAGAAAAAAAAGGGTCCGGTTTCTTAAAATACTTGCAATCTTATTTATTATTTGTTAAACAATATTCTTTTTTTATACTAAAAAATTATTGTTTAGATCAAATATTAATTTTTTATTTCGTTTTATATAGAATTATACTGCTTAACAAAATAAAAACTCCAAACCTTAAGTCTCGACATAAGCTTAGGAAATTAAATTAGGTATAGGGCTGTCCATAAATTACTTCAACAAAATAGGGGGAGAGGGGTCTGAATTTTTTTTGAGATTTGTTGACAAGGGGAAGGGGAAGTCAAGACAAGTTGACGTCAACATTTAGTTACTTAAAAAAAGGAAAACTAGGCAGCATTGCAGTCCTGTGTTACATAATACATAAACCTTTTGTATTTTAATAAAGCTATTTATATTCCTGCTTTTAAAAACCGTGTTGTGTTTTGAAAAGACCCGAAACGTACAGAACTAAATAAGCACATATGAGATGTTTACTTGTAACACTATTGTTTTTTCAAAGTTGTTGTTGGTTAGTCTGCTATGCAAACAAAAAAGATTTATGTAAGTACTTGGTCTACACTATATTATTTAAACGTTTATACCAGGGGTAGGTAAAATGTGCCAGAAAATTGTTAACGTAATTAATGGACAACCCCTATTCTACGAAACAAAATTGTTAAAAGCAAAAATCGCCTTTTCCCTTAAAATCATTTTGCGCAATGCATTATAATGTATTATTTACATACAAACGCCATAATTATGGCATCTGTATGTAAATAATATGAAAATATACTTACGATTCATACGATTCTACTGCTTTTTGTCTTATTTCAGAATATAGGTCTTTCCAAAATATTTTAAGAGGTTTTGAATATAACTAAATTTGAAATTGTTTATATAGAATTTTTTATTTATTTATTTAGAATTTTAAACCATTTAAAAAAAAGCATGCCTTTTTGGTTTAAAAAAACAACAATATAAAAATCATTAAATAATTTATTATTGCAAACTATTTCCGATTCATACAATGATTCTTATACATTTCGTTTGATAATAATAGTTTGTTTTTATAAAAATACTTTTTTTTTTTTAATTTAACAACTCCACTTGAGCAATTGAAACAAAACAATAAAATCTGATAAAATGAATCAATATTTAAGTTGTAAATAATATACATATCATAATGTGTTTCCGTAAAATACATAATACGTTTAAAAAAAAAACAAGATAAAAATGGATAAAAGTTAAATCCAGAAACGATAACCTTCTAAAGCAAACGTTTACAAAAATGTTCTGTTAATTATTTAACTACTTTGTTAATTTTAACAAAGTTATCATTCAATATCCTTAATTATAAAATGAAAAAAAGCATATATTTTTATTTACGTGGAGCAAAAATAATCAGTATCGTTCTATCTGTTTTTGTAACTGCGTCCATCTTCTTCATTTTCATCGAAATTCAAGAACTAAAAATAAAAAGTGAGTCTCAATTAAAAATCAACAGAAACGTAGCATTAGTGACGACTGCTATAAGTTTAATCTCTACCGTGAATAAAGTAGGAAAAGATAAAAAGTCGGAAGAAAAAGATGCGCTTTTACATATTATAATTGATTCTGTTGAAAAAGATAATTCAACACTGTATACAACACTGATATTAATATCTTCGTTTGTTAACCACAAAAGCAGAAGGAACACGATTCGGGAATCATGGGGTAATTCTTCGAACTGGAATACAGAACAAAAGTATTTATTAGTATTTGTTGTAGGAAGGGTAATGAATACAAACTCTATGATCGAAATAGCAGAAGAAGCAAAACTACAAAAAGATATTCTTTATTTAGATGTCTTTGAAGACTTTTACTTGCTAACTAAAAAAGTAATCATAGGATTCATCTGGGCCAAACATAACATAAACTTTAAAGCTCTTCTAAAAGGCGACGATGATACCTTTATGAACTTGGACAACATCATGAAATTTGTTCAACATAATGAGGTAACGGACGGTTACTTTGGAAATAAAATAGATCGTGCATACGTAAAGCGTAGTGGTCGATACCAAGTAACAAAAGATGAACGAAACGAAAGCAACTACAATCCATACTGTTCCGGAGGAGGTTTTATATTAACAAATTCTAGCGTTTACAAAATGATACCAATATTCGATTTAAAAAAAATATTTCGAATAGACGACGTTTTCATAGGAGAAGTTGCCCTTAAAGCTGGTAATATTATCTTCATACGAATTTTAATTTTCTTTCTTATTATTAATAATATTATTTTTATTGATTTTTATTTTTATTTTTCTAAATAAAAAAAAAATAAACTTTAAAAAAAAATTCCTTTTGTTTATAAGTTTTAAATTATTTAGGAATACAAGTACAGAGTGCGAAAGGTTTTTACATGTATAATTCTTGGTGTGAGTATAAAAAAGATATTATGGTCTCACATCCTTCAATAGATTCCGAATGTAATAGTTTCCTACTGAAAAGATCTATGATTGACAATGGAAAACTGCCAAGGAATATAGAGTTGGAAAGCACGAGATGTTACAAAAATATTAAAGAATGTATAAATTCTTAAACTTAAGTCAAAAAATTTCACTTCAAGATACACATCAAAAAAGATTTTGTAACTTTACTTACAATTTAAATATATACATAACTCAGAGTTTCATAATTTGCACGAAACTCTTAGTTATGTTGAAAATAAATCGAGTTTTATAATTATTAAATTTTTACTATATTTATTTTACTTTTGTATTTAGCATTTTTTACAAAGAAATATTTACACTATTACTACATTGTGTAATATATATATATATATATATATATATATATATATATATATATATATATATATATATATATATATATATATATATATATATATATATATATATATATATATATATATATGTACCCACGAAACATTTAAACTTACTTTATTGGTCCCACGCACGTTTTATTGCCAGCATTTGGTACTGGCCCAATATATGTCAAACTTTCGGAAATGATTTTACGTTACATGCTGTATTGGCCAATTACATAGTCTATGTAATTGGCCAATTACATAATTATGTAATTTATGGCCCGACATATGCAAGACTGAATATATAGAATTTATTTGACTACGATTAGTTGAGAATATATTAGACCAATACCAACGTCATCAGTAAAACAGAATTTATAAACCAAAAGCATTATTTTCAAGCGGTTTCTGTGAACTTTTCACAAAAAACACAAGTGTAAAATGTGGAATAATTATGGCTAAAAGCTTTGGTTTAAAAACTTTAAGCTAAAAATTACGTAAATATAAAGGTTTAGCAGCACTTATAAAGGTTTAGCAGCACTTATAAATGCCACGAAGAGTATACTGCTAAAGTTTCACGCCATAACTCAGTTGGCCAGATCTCACTTTTACTAAACAACACTAATAACTCGTCATGTAAATAAGATTTAATTTTTGCACTGTTTAATAATTTTAGGATTGCAGTTTCAATGGTGGTTTTAACTTTGGGTTGCTATGGATACCTAAATTGCTTAGCAACCACATATGTTAATAACAATACTAAATATTATTAGTGGTAAATAATACCAAGAATACAACTCTACATATCTTTTTGCAATATATATAAAATACAGTTGAAAAGCATCTGCTTCGATTTGTAATCCTGAGGATAATATTTGTAACATAATATAAATCATTTTTATTAGACATAAATCAATTCCATTAATATTAGACATTATTTGAGGATTCTAAAAAAAACTTTTCCATTATTTCCATCATTTGATGTACCTGAATATTCAATGTACCTGATACCCAACTTAAGGAAATCAATAACAAGTTCAAGTTCTTTTTTTTTTTCTAATCTTCTTTTCTTTTTTTAATTTAACAGTAACCTTGTCCTCTACTGTTGCGTTTGATGTTTTCTAATACCCAGTTTGTATGATACGCTCAAAACACTTTCATACAAGGTATCCAAGCACGTAATCTTGATAAAGTATTCATTAAACCATAGCTAGGAAGTAAATTTGTTTGAGTAAAAACCACACATTGAACAACATTGACTTGAACTTGTTACATTAGACCCAGCAGTGGGTCGAAGATGCTTCATGAAAATAGATAAGTTGATATTTGCTGTTAAGTTCATGCTATTCACAACTGCATCCAAAATATTAGGGTCAAGTTTTCTTGTATTATAATATAATATAAAAAATACTGTACAAACTATTTAAGTTTGGTGAGTCAAAACTACATAGTGTTGACTATAACAGCCTTTAAATGTAAGATTTTGTTAATAAAAATAATTTATAAACATAGTTTGGTATCGAAAGTTCAGAACTTTATCTATTCTATTTTTAAAAGTGTTTTTGTTTGCAGAATTGATTGCATCTTATGATATAAAACTTTTATTAACTACCACTCTATGTGTAAAATAGTAAAATCTGCATATTTCTCAAATGTATGTTTTATAAAACCTAGTGTTCGATTAGCTTTATTTACAACACTGATAACATGATTTTCCCATTTAAGGTCATTTGATATTATCATACCTAAATCTCATTCAATTTCTGTCTTTTGTAAAACATGATCTTCAAATTTGTAGTTAAATTGAGAACTCATTTTACAAATATGCATAAATTTGCACTTAACTCCATTGAACTTAATAAACCACTTATTTGACTAGTCTAACAACTTATTTAAGTCTTCTTTAAGAGCATTGCTGTTACTTTCATTGCTAATTGCGGACATAATTTCAGTATCATTTGCAAATAATTCTGATTTATTTAGTATAATAATATTTAAGTCATTTATATAAATTTCAATTAGTATTGAGCCAAAAAATGAACCCTCAGGTACTCCACTTGTAACTTCCTCCCAACTTGAAACAAACTCACCCAGATCAACTCTTTGTTTTGAATTACTAAGAAATATTTTACACCATTTTAAAATATATGAGTGAAAACCAAAAAGTCTTTGACAAAGGATGCATCATTTAACTTGTAAAAATCATTATTAGAGACCATGCGGACAACTGTGAATAATAAATCAAACTTAAATTGATAATCTACAAATTACTGGGCCACCTTGGACCAATTCAATTCAATTCAATTCAATATATTCTGAAATAGGTTGTAAAATTTCAAGGACTTTTACAAACAGTACAATTACTAATCTAAAGTAAAAACCTACAACATTACAATAAAAGTGATCATAATAACAATAATAATAATAAAAATAATAATAGTAATGATAATAATTATAGAAATAATATTAACAATAATAATAAGATGACGGTGAAGAGGAATATTATTAGTAACAATACTAACAATAACAATAAAAATATCAGACGTTCAATATTAGATAATAACAATAATAGTGATAATAACAACTATATAGCATTTTGTACGAAAAAATAAATTCCAAAATATAAGGGTAATTTACGAGGACGACCATATTTTAGCAATAAATTTCGAAAAAAACAATCTTAATATTATAGTTATTGGGTTATACCTCTCCTCATCGCGGAATAACCTCTCGTCTCTGGAAGAATATAAAGGTCAACTAGATACTGTTAAAGGTCTAATTGATAGTTACGAAGGTAACGGCAATATAATATTAGCAGGTGACTTCCAATCCTTTCCTCACCAAATGTATGATTTATTTGAAAGATCAAATTCTAAAAGAAATAGTTATTCTGTGCACTTATCGGAATTTTTAAAAACAAATCAATTAGAACTAGTTGATGTAACTAAAGGTTCTGGCCCTAATTATACATATCGACACCAGACACTACCGAATTCGTCATATATTGATCACTTCGCCGTATCAAAATATACAAGTTTTATAAATCTTAAATGCATTGTTCATCCTGAATGCTCAAATAATTTGAGCGACCACCTACCACTATCAATATCAGTTGAAGTTAAGTACACCGAATGCAATACCATTGAACTAGCAGAAGATACTAATATACCTAGCTACGCTTGGAACGATTCTAACTTTATAAATTCTTACAATGTTCATTTAACCAATCGCTTTAACAATCTTAATTTTACTAACGATTATGAATACGACCTTCTCCAAATCTATAAAAAAATTACTGACAGCGCTCAAATAGCTTTTAAGGAGACTTTAAAAAATAAAAAGCAATGTTTGTATTCAAAATCTTGGTGGACACCTGAATTAAGTCGGTCTAAAACTATTCTTTCAATTCATTTTAAAAAATGGAGAGATTCTGGTTTTTCTAAAGAGTTAAACTCGGTATCATTTAACCGTTACCAAATGGCTCGTAAAAACTTTCGTAAAGCCGTCAAGTCGGCTCAAAATAATAAAATTTGCGCACAATATATTAAAATTGAAAAGTTAAAAAATACTAAACCAAAAAACTTTTGGAATGCTTTTAGATGTTTAAACAAAGACATAAATTCTAGATTATTTACCATAAATAATAAAAAAGACAAAGAATCTATTACTTCAGAATTCGCAAACCACTTCGAAAGAGTACTGAATACTCCAAAAATAACTCATCGTAAAGAAAATCAGAGAATTCCCCCGTGTACAAAACATGATGATGTAACAATAACTGAAGAAAATATAATTGGGGCTATTTCAAATTTAAAATTAAAAAAATCTCCTGACTCTTTCGGTATCTCAGCAGAACATTTGAAATACGCAAAGTGCGATACTTTAACAAAATGGCTCATCAAATTTTTTAATTACTCTATTAATTATGGATCGACTCCAATATCAATGTCGACGTCAACTATTGTACCCCTTGTTAAATCGTACAAAAAGTCTTTAGATAGCCCAAGCAACTATCGTGGTATTAGTATTATACCAATTTTTACAAAGGTTCTAGAATACCTGATCTTAATTATATGTCCGGATATTAGAGATACTCACTCCCTACAGTTTGGATTCAATGCTAACTCTTCAACGCTACATGCTGAATTTCTAATAAGCGAAACAATTAAACATTACAACAGCAACCATTCCCCTGTGTATCTATGTTCTTTAGATGCAGAAAAAGCTTTCGATAGCTGTAACTGGAATATCCTATTTGAAAAATTATATTTCGATAAAAAATTACCACTATGTATAGTTAACACTATCTCCTCGTTGTATAACAATAGTAGCGCAACAGTCTCATATCAAGGTTGTAAATCAAACTCTTTTCCTCTAAACCAAGGAGTAAGACAAGGATCAATTCTTTCGCCTCACCTCTATAATATTTACACTGAAAGTCTTCTCGAAACTATTAAAAATCAGGGTATGGTTGGCACATCTATAAACGGTAACTTTACTGGTGTGGTAGCCTATGCGGATGATATAATACTTTTAAGCTCTACCTTATCTGGTCTCAAAAAGCTTATAAAAACATGCAATATTTACAGTAATCTAAATTGTATTAAACTGAATGCCGAAAAGACTGAGTTCTTGATCTCAGGTAAAGCCCAAATACAAACTAATACAATAACAATTTCTGGTAATAAAAAAAATCTTCAGAATAAACTTAGACATCTGGGATTCACATGGGATACTAAACATTCAGTTTTTGCTTCACTCGGTTATTCAAATGTTGATGAAAAAATATCAAACTTTAGAGCTGTTGTTCAAACTCTTATTCAATCTGGAATCCGGTTTGCTCACCCCAGTTCTATTTCCTATATATATAAATCATTGGCAGTCCCCACCTTAACTTATGGTATGGAGCTATGTGAAAATAATCCTGGTCTGATGAAAAAGCTAGATATAATTGGAAGGAGTGCGCTAAAATCGTTTTTAAATGTTTCAAAACATAGTAAAAACTATATGAATTCGTTATTTAAAATCCAGGAAATTTCAAAAAGTGTTCAACAAAATAAGTTAAACTTGTTCCTTCGACTTCTTAATAACAAAACAACTGCAGACATTATCTTTTCACAACTGCAACACCCGTTATTTCAACATTCGTTTGTTAGTGATATTCAGGAACTATGCCATCTTCAGATATTAAATTTTCAAAACCTAATTCAAAATAAAAAGAAGGTAAAAATACCACTTTCTAAAAGTAAAATTCCTTCCGAAGTTGAACGAAACTTGAAGTATGCAATAGAGTGCTGGAATGCAAAAGAGCAAAGAGGAGTTTTCAAGCTAATTCTGGAAGAAAACGTTTTTAAGCAAAGTCATCCGAAATAACTTTCTTATTTTTTTCTTTTTACCTTGTAAATTGGGTGTTAAATAAATAAAATAATAATAAGTAGTAAATAAATTTAAGAAAAAATTAAAAAAAAGCAATAATAATACTTATTAAGTTATAAGTAAAAATAACAATTTACTAATAAAGATAGAAGAATATTATTAATATCAATACTAACAATAACAATAAAAATATAAGAACAAAAAGTTAATAATAAAATTAGTAGGTATTAAGAGAGTAGCAATAATAACAGCATAACAACATATTTCAGAGGCTTCAGGTATAATATCTTGCTAAAAAATAGTTAAAAAGACAGTTTTTGAAATTAGTAATTGAGTCAATTAATTTTAATTGTGAAGATTGACTGTTCCACAATTTTACACTTTGGTATTTTATGGATTTTAGACCATATTTTACAGAAGAATGATTTGGTAAATGAAGATTATAGCTATTAGCAGATCGTAGATGATAGCGACAGCTTTCTCTAACATAAAAAAATTTTGTAAATGTGCTGGGTAGGCATTTTTTTTTATGATAGAAGACAAAATGACAGTTTAATAGTTGAACTAGATCATCAATTTTGAGTATTTTGGATAAAAAACAAAAATGATCGGAGTTAGATTGATAATACTGAAAATATATTACTTTTAATGCTTTGTTTTGTAAGTTGGATAATCTTAAAATTTCTTGGGTTCGGATTTGTCCCCAAACTTGACACGCATACCTAAGATGTGATCCAAAAATGGCATGGAATATATTGATAAGAGTTTCAAGATTTATATAATGACGAATTTTAGCTAACATCCCGTTTGATTTACATAGTTTTATTGACAAGTCCTTAAGATGTTGAGAAAAAGTTAAATTTGAGTCAATTTTGATTCCAAGATACTTTAGGTACATAACTGGATTGATTTTTTGACCACTCAGCCTAAAATTTAGGTATTTACTGATTTTAGATTGTTTTGATTTAAAGATGATAATTTCAGTTTTACTAGTATTCAGAGACAGTTTGTTAGATCGAAGCCATTGAATTAGATTAGACAGATCATGATTATTATGTTTGTTCATTTTTTTTAATGATTTATTAATTAAAAGCAAGTCTCATCAGCAAAATGGTAGGAAGTTGTATATTTTAATGATAAATTAAGGTCGTTAATGAAATGGGTTGAAATGTTATTATAGAATAGTAAAGAGTTCAAAATAATTTTTCTTTTTAAGGTAAAACATTACAAACTGTGGAGAATTTAAGCTTTATTTAAATACACTATTAAAAAATAAAAATATTTGCGAAGAAACTTTATTTAATAAAAAAGGATAAAAATCAATTAAAAGTAAATAAAAAACTAAAAAAATAAATACATTAAAAATAGATAAAATTTGGTATTTCTGAGGGGACACCTTAAGAAATTTAATTTGATTAAAAAAAATATCTATTACGTTGAGTGAGAAAATTCAAGTCAATTAGTAAATAGAAGAATGCATATTAAAAAACAAACAACTAATGAGAACAATTAAAAAAAAACAACCAAATAATATTTAAAAAAAATTTATTCTTGCGATTCTGTTGTTTTCTTGAGAGGTTGCTGTTGCTGTACTTTGTTGATGTAGCTCGGTGTTTTTTAGATCACGCTTTGAAATGCATGTTTAACAAAGCAAAACCTGGGATCTTAAGGTTTTGCACTAACTTTATTCACTATTTGGAGTTTTTTAAGCTTTGCTCATTTATCTAACTTGACTTTGTTTGCTGTTGTAGTTGGATTTGCAATTGTTGCATAATTTATTTACTGCTCATCATCAAAGGTAGGCTTGTTGTTTCCTATATTGCATTGCTGCCTTTTTACTGCATTTTTGCTGTCAGTTTTTTGGCTGTTTACAATATTTTGGATTTTTCGTTCCAAAATGTTTCATGCAAAACATTTGTTAAAAAGCTGCAATAAACTGTTAGGCCGATTCCAATTGCTTTTTTATTAACTTTCTTTAAGACAACTGGCGTTACTGCAATATTGAAAACTGCAAGCGAGTTGACTCTAGAGCTGATGGTATATGGCGTATGCTGATGTTAGGTATTGTCATTTATGCTGATGTTAGGTGTTGTCATTTATGCTGATGTTAGGTGTTGTCATTTATGCTAATCTTATGTGTTGTCATTTATGGGAACCCACATTAAACCCTTGTGGGACTAGCTTTTTTTTTTTCATTGGCTGAAAAGATTTTCTAGTAGTTGAATAAAGCAATCAAAAAATAGTTGAATTTTTTCTCTGCATAAGTTTGAGGATCAGGTTGAAAATTAAATAGTTGAGGTAATTTTAACATGGCACTCTGACAATAAAATGATGCGTTTTTATTAATACCTGATTTGTTGAATTCGCTTTGAGTGTGTTGAAATATTTTACAATTTTTTCTTGAATGTAAGTAGCAGCTCTAAATGATAAAAAATTGAAACTAATCTTATTCGACAATAGTTGATTAAATTGATAATAATTAAATAATTGAATTAAGATAAATATATAATACTTAAACAAAGGATTGATAAAGATATTTATAAATTGAAACGCAATAATAAATAAAAACCCCACCTACCAAGTTAGCAATTTTGCTTTGTCAGCGTAAAGTTTGCGTATTTCATTCGATCCTATGGTTAACCGTTTCTGTTTTTGACATGTTTTTGGGCAAATACAAATCACGGTAAGGAAAGGAGGCGTGAACTTCCTGGTTAAATGCGCTTCCGCGGTGCTCTGTGACAAGACCGTAAGGTTATCTTGGGGCACCTAAATGAGTAAAAAAAATAAAAAATAAAAAAGGAGGTCTCCAAATGGCGTTTCTCAGATAAGGGGGCAGTAGTTTAATTATAAAAGTATGGAGACACTAAATTAAAAAAAATATTATAAAATGTTGGATTGGTAGGTTAAAAGCATAGGTACTTTTAGGGATGTAGAGGGTACTCAAAAAAGCGTATGGCAAAATGCGGAGAGGGGGGAGGAGGAGGAGGGTTGGCAAAAAAAAAGCGTACGTACTTTATGGACAACCACTAACAAATACAGGTTGTAAAATGCTTTCAGATCCAAAAAGGAATCATAGGATGATGCAATTGGGGCGATTGTCCTTTTTATTGGGGCAATTGGGGCGATTGCCTTCTTTAGATATTTTTAAAAGAATTTGTTTTATAAATTTATATTTATTTAACTGATCAATTGTCTGAAAACGGTAGTAAATTAGGGAGGCTGTTTAAATAGGACAGAAATTTTAATATATAATTATATTTGTATTTAATATATATAATATATATTATAATATAAATAAGTTTGTGTGGTGCAAAAAAAAATCGAACTGACGGTATATCGATATATAACGTAATTTTATAGTTACATAGTTAATCTATGTAACTATAAAATTACGTTATAGACAGTGACATAGATTAAGTTAGTGAAATTACTTGGTAAATGGGCTTTTTGATTAAAACTAAAATTCAAAAAAAAACTAAAGACCTATTCCTCCCCCTACTTTACAAAATAATTTGGATTAAGCAAATCTACCCCCCATCCCCCATCATTTTTTCCTAAATGATCTGGATGTACCGAATCAAAAAATTTAAAAGTTGCCCTTCCTTACTAGATAGTCTGGAAATGCCCCTGTTTAGTTCCTAACTTTTTTTCCACCTCAAAAAATAGCTTCAAAAAAAAACACGTTTCATATATACAGACTAGCTGGTTAAGATGAAAATCACCTCTAACTGGTTGAAAATTAAAATATCTTATATTGGTTGAATATCAAAATGTCTTCAATCAGTTGGAAAAAGTCGGTCGTAAATGAAGACATCATAAATTGGTCAAAAATTAAAAAAGGCTATAAACAGTTGCAGGGCCGCCGAGAGCTGTCACGTCGCCTGGGACAGCAATCCTGATTGGCGCCCATATTTATTAAATTTTCCCTATATTATATATGAAGGACTTTTTCTTTTTTTTAGGTATCTACTTTTGGCGCCCCTAGGATATCTGCCGCCCGGGACAAACTGTCCCGGTCCCCCCCCCCCCCCTCTCGGCGGCCCTGATCAGTTGAAAACATTTTAGTCCTCAGTAGTTGGTATCTTTGCACTACATGGTAATTTTGATTTTTTTTTTATTATTGTAGATCGAATTTCTAAGTTCAAGTTTTGTTAAACTAGGTATGAGACACGATTCAAAAATGTGCTTAAACTATTTCCTAAACCATATTCTTTTTTTCAGTTTTTTTGTCAGCAATTTACGCAAGTTTCTAGTATACGTCACTGTGCAATAAAACGTTTGCTATCGGACAGGTTACCTTGAACTGCTTTATTATAACCCCTTCATCAATAAACAAAATTACTGTTAGATATCTCCGTTAAAGCTTTTTGTGATGGGGCTATCGTCCTCATAAGGTTTAGTGATAAAATGTTTATTAAACTAATTTCTAAACTTAATATTATAATAAACCGAATATGTATCAAAACAGAGTATTCGGTTTAGGATAGGGAATCCTGAAATTGTCAATCTAAATGGCTAAGATGTTGTGAAGTGGAAAGTGTATACATTTTTTTACTGATTATGATTGCTGTTTAGGCTCTAGTTTTTTTGTCTAGTTTTTTTGTAGAAAAAAGCACAAAAAAGTTTGAAAAACACTATTGAGTTAATAATTATAAAATTAGTAATTAAACAGCTTATTTATTAAACAAGCTTTTTATTTGTTGTTTTTATTATCATTATATTATTATTATGTTATGTCATTATTTATAAATTAATAATAACGAATAATATTATTCATAATAATATCATTTTGTTGTCATTATTGCCATCTATCATCTATGATACTGTTATCATCGTTGTCATTAATTTTATGCTACCACTAACTGTAAATTGGACTAAATTTTAACTTCTCGACATAATAGTAACTTTCAGTGTAATTTGTTTTATCTTTTGTGATTATTTTTCTATAGTATATAATACTAGTTTTTTTTAATTTAAGCATTTTTTTAAATTTTTATTCAAAAAAAAATTTGTAAATATTTTTAAATGATTATTATAGATTTCAAAATAATTTTTTTTTGATTAAAATTTTTTTTTTTACTTTTCTATCCAGGTCTAAATAATGGGTAACTATTTTCTGAAAGGTTTCCAGCGATTGTTTGGTGGTCCAGAAGTTCGAATTTTAATGGTTGGGTTGGACAATGCTGGAAAAACAACAATTCTGTATAAGTTTCGTTTAAATGAGACTGTATCTACAGTTCCTACTATAGGTTTTAATGTAGAAACTGTGAAGTATAAAAACATAGCATTTACTGTGTGGGATATTGGTGGTCAGGTATACATATTTTTTTTAAATATTTAACAATTATTGTGTATAAATGTTATGTTAATAATATGTTAATAGTATTTAAAATATTTAAGTTATTTTCTTATTATGGTGATGGTTTTAATTAATATGTCCAAATAGTAATGTGGTAACAAACTATTCCCCTCCCCCTCTTTTTTTTTTTTTTTTTTTTTTTCTGCAAATTTTTTATACAAAATTTATCCTCCACTCTCCCACTAGAATATATAATACATGAAAACAAAAACTTCATTCTAAAATTATTTTTGAATTTAATGATAGAGAAACCAGCTTAAAATACTGTTTGTTGATAATCTAATAAATTTGGTTATTGTCCTTTGCTACAAATTAGTCTACTGCATCATTTAAATTTTATTGTTTCTTCTGCTTCAACAGCTAAAGAACAATGTATGCTATTTATTTACAATGGCGCCACGCTAATTGGCAATGTCAAATATAGCATAAATATTTTACTTCAGCAAAATTACTTCATTCAAACATTACTTTAGCAAAAGAGCAGCATATATTACAATATGTTATTGTTAACAATTTGAGCACATCAAAAATATTTTCTACGTCTTTAATATTTATTTTGTTGGTTTTTAAAACAAAATTATTTGGTTTAGGAAAACATAGGATATATAGCTATCTATTTTGCAAGTTTTTGCATGTTGATCCATAAAATACAGGTCTTTACCAAGCCTACCATTTCTATACATATCTATTCCACACTGATTGTTTCTATACCTATTTTTTATTTACTTCAATATTTTTTAGTAAAATAATTTATTCTGAAAAAAACCTTTCAGAACAAAAAAATTAACATGAGCACCTTTTCCGCATACGTAGAGCTTATAAGAGACTTAAAATTAGGTTTGTTTTTCTGCTAAATGCATTTCATTGATAGCTCAGTGGTTAACTATGAAGTAGTGGTGTAGTGGTAGAGTGCTCACTTTATAAGCGAGAGTTTCCGAGTTCGATTCCGTGGTAGTACCACGCTCAACTTGTTTCTCCATGCAGCGATCTTGTTCGTTAAGGTTCGTGTTTCAGAGTTATAGAGTTGAGAGAGAGTTAAAACTATAAATAGCCTCCTCATCTGTAGTGGCCTCTCGGCCTTGGGGAGGTGAATTACAAAAAAAAAAAAAAGAGTGCGCTTTTATCAGTGCTGTTTTGGGTTGTTTAAGACCTCCTTTTTGCGTAATAAATTTTGAAATTTTTTCAATCTTGTTTATATATTTGTTATATTATATATATATATTATTTGTTTATATAATATTGCAAAAAAGATTTCTAAAATTTAAAATAAAATTTTAAAGTTTTCTCATTTTATAGATATATTATACACAATTATTCCATATGATGCCTGCAAACTCAACATATCCCACTTGCCTATACAATAAAGTTGAAAAAAAAAAAATTAGTTTATATTAAAAAATGATATATGTTTCTTTTCAAAACCTAAAAATTTTAAGTGCAATGAACTGCAATTATTTTAATTTATTTTGGTTTAGTGGCTTTTGTTAAGAGTTTTTAAATTTTGCGTCAAATTATCTTATTTCAACATAGTCGTTGTATCATCCATATATTTATAGTAAAAAAATTAATGTAGTAAGTAACTTTTAATTGTCAAAAGAAAGTTTTAAAGTTTTTTTTATCTACGGGTTTTTTTTTTTTTTGCCTCTACAACAGCATCTTCTGGAGTAGCAGGACTGTATTATTAAATTTATTTTTTGTTAAGTTTAAAACAGTTTTTTTTAAGACCATCTGCATCTTATTAGAACTAATTACCTGAGCCCGTTAATAACCCATTAATAAAATAAGTATCTCAATCATGACACATACGCAACAAATTTTTTCTCCCAGTGTTTTTATGTTTTTAAAATTTTTAGCTTTTTTAAAAACATTTTCATTTGTTAAAGTGTATAATATCCTTACATATGTTTGTATATAATCTCTATAAAATTTCAAAAGTATTTTGTATTTTAAAATAGTCGAAAAAAAATAAAAAATAAAAGTTGCCAGTGAAAGGACTTGAACCACAGCTTTTAGGTTTAGAAGCTCTGCGCGCTATTTGCTTAGCTATGCTAGCATGTTGACTTACATAAAATTTTAAAACTATGTAGTGATTTTTTTAATGGAAATAAATGCTATATATTTAAATTAAGGAGATGTTGCTTGTGAAAATTCCATGTGAAAAAATCCAATAATTTTCATACAACTTTAGACCTCAGATTTTTCTAATTTTCTCACCATTTAAAGATTTAAATAAATTATAAGCATCCCCAAGATTTCATTCTCTAATATCAAATGGTTTCAAAGATATAACTCTTTTAACTTTGCTTCAAACTAATAAAAATCTTTTGAAAAATTTATTTAATCATTTAATAACTTTATTTCAAATTCCTGTTTTATAAGTAGCAAGTTTAAGTAAATTTAAATTTTTTTTTTTCTTTTTAGAAAAAGACACCTCTCCAATTTTTTGTAACAATTCTAACAAAACCTTTCAGGACAATATTAAAAAAATATTAAAAAGTCAAGCAACATCTGCATTTTTGTAATTAAACTTGCCTCAGTAAAATTGTGGTAAGGGTGGTAAGGTACTTTGAATAGTAAAATCTGAGACTTAAGTTAAAAAAAAAAGACTTAAGTTAAATTGAAAAAGACTTAAGTTAAATTGAAAAAGACTTAAGTTAAATTGAAATTAAGGGGGCTGAAATTTAAATTAAGAGGGCTGAAATTAAAATTAAGGGGGCTAAGACAGTTAGAATCAGAATTTGAATGAAAACAGAAATTTTCAAAAGTTGGGGGGCTATTCCTTTTTCTAAAATCCCCCACATCCCACCTCTTTCCTCTTCATATGCCAATGTATATAAGTGTATTAAATCCTATAGAAATTATGATGAAATAGCTGTAAAAAATGCACATTTGACAGACTAAAACTGAAATTAACACTGAAATTAAAATTGTTTTATATGTATTGTGGAAAAAGTTCCCACCCACTCTTTTATTAAAACCTCCTAAAATAGATATGGACTAAAATTCCTCCCTACCTCCGCCCTTGTATTAGGCACCCAAGAATATTTTTTTATTCTTTATTTTTTTTTTCCTTTAAACATTTTTATTTATTTTTTCGAAAGTTTTTGCCTCAAATTGCAAAAAATGAATGAATTATTAATAAATGAATTTAAAATAACTAGTTGGGCATTTTTTTTCTTTAAGAATTATAGAAATAATAAAAAATAAATATATTTTATAAAAATCATGTTGTATGTAACATGAGTGCTTTTTAAAGTATTGTATTACAAATTGATTGTCTTCCTAATGTTAAGTATTCAGTTTAAACGGGACCTGGACCCAAGAGTTAATAACATAAATAGTATTAGCAGTTTTTAAATTGCTTTTAGTGAGAAGATGAGAGAGATAGGAAACAATCATTTTTCTTCTTTAAAGTCATTAACTTTAAAGTTTGATGTGCTTATTTTAATATTTTTTGAAATTGTTGTATGTAACTGAGAACATTTTCTCTTCCAACTGTACTTTATTTTTTATTTTTTATTCAATCATTTATTTTTCTCGAAGCTTTTATTGCCATTTTTAAAAAAAAACCTTATCACCAAATTAATTTTAAAATATTAATTTACACATTATTTGTTTTGTTTATGTTGTTTATGTAGCATAAGTATATAGTAGCAATTTATAGTATTAAGTATTCAATTTAAATTTTTTAAATATTTTATAAAGATTGCTTTGATATTTAAAAAAATTTTAGCATTAAATTACTTGATTTTATTAAAAATTATTATTTTAAAAATAGAATTCAATTTCGTTGATTTTCAAGCATTAAGTTATTTTCGTATTTATAAAGTTCATTAATAAAGAGCTATAACTAATATAAAAAATTAAACAAAGAAAAAAAAATTAAAATTTTGACCATCCAAATAAAAAATTGACCATCGATTCTGTGTTTTAACCTGTCACAATTTTATATAAAAAATTTTGCATTCAGCAGAGCTCTCACATATTCTAGTCATTTTTCTCTATAGGGCTAAATGTAGACTATAAAAATAATTTGTTTAAATAAAAATAGTATTGTAAACTATTGATAATATTCACTTAATATTCACTGATATATATGCCATTAGTTTTTTTACTTAAATTGGGTGCTTTTTTTTATAAAAAAAAATAGGTGCTCTTTTTTACAACAGCAAAGTATTGACAAAGTATAAAAAAACAATTTCCAAATACTTTAAAACCATTTGCTTTAATGTGATGTAATTATTAAGATCTTATTTGCTACAGGAACTTGAAAACTATTGATATTTTTGAAAGTATTTTAAAGTACTGCGTTGTAATGAAATTTAGTTTTAAATAGCGTTAATAATTAATTAAATTAATTTAACAGTTATTAATAGAATCTAATTCGGTATATGTAAAAGATTATATTTCCTTAAAATTTATTATTTAAAAAAAATCTTATACTTAACATAATCTTTTGTTAGATTATCACAATTTATTAATTTTAATATTTTTGTATTTAATGTAGTATTTTTTACTAAGGTTTATAAACAATTTATAGATAGATTTTATCAGTTACGAATAAGATATTTGTAAACATAATTTATGTTCATGAATGTATTACATCAAAAGAACTTTACACAATATTGAATTAATAAGAAAAAAAATTTTTTAAATACATTTGTGAAAAAGAGTTCTCTTAAATCAAAGCACTTCTCTTTTTTTTATAAGAAAAAAAAATTTATTTGCTTTCACGTATTATATAGTTTATGATGCAGAGACTTAGCAAAACTTAGCAAAGACTTAGCAAACCTTTGAAACTAAACTAAATTTTTTTAAGCATTCAATTTAAAATGTTTTGATTAAAAAGTATTTTTTACAAAACAATTTGTTTCTTCAAAAAATTCACAGTTTTAGTTAAATGCTTTTTTTACAATCCAATATTTCCTGAATAAATATCACATAGACAATATTAA